CTCAAATACTCTACTACCACTTACTATTATTTGGATGGTTTGTCTTCACTCGTCGTGCAACTTCAGATTGTCTCTATCCGTTTCTATCTCTCGCTGGCGCCATTTACGATGTTAATACTGAGCTGGTTGTTCGGAGAGGAGTCTTCGACGTAGCCACAGTGTCAGGAACATTTCTGCTACGTAGAAGAATGTTGGAAGAACAGTTGAATGGAACAGGTGGGCTTGGAGCTCTGGGTCCGTCAGGTGGTCTGTGGCTTCCTTTGAGGGGCCGAAAGTGGCCCAAAATGCTCTTCGCCTCCTGTTTAGTTCTTATTTCAGATCGTCTTCCATGCTTATCGAACGCCCGAGATATACTTAAGAAGAAGTCTCTGCGATTGGAGTGCTTTTGATTCCATTTCCTGATCCTCGCAAAAAGCGTCGTTTATGAACTGAGTCTTCTCGGTTGATTCGCAGTCCTATCCGTTTCCCTACTTCGTTTAGTTTTTTTTTAACGTCTTCTCCGCTGGTAATATTGCCTAAGAAGAGTTCAATGTCTTCCGCAAAACGAAGTTGAGAAGAATCTCTTACCAACTTTTACCACTCCTGTTACAATCTGTGATTTAACCTGCTGCAAGGCGGCAATAGAGAGCTATGGCGACACGGTGTCGCCTTCTTGAACCTTCTTCGAAATTGGTACGTTAAGTGGGCGATGGAGAAATATCCGTTGTAAAGCAATTCTTATAGCAGCGTCAATGTTCTCACATAAGACGGTCTACCCCCTGACAGTATTTTATTAGTTCGATGGTTTCGAAGCTGTCAAACGTTTCTTTTTTGACGAAAATTGGAGGAGAGACAGACGATATATTCCTTGACATGCGAGTAGTATATCTTTGTGAAGAGCTTGTAAGGCACACTCTACAGGCATATTGGTTAGTTACGGAGATCCTTCTGTAGCCCTTCTTATAAAGGAGCTAGGAGGATTGTTCGGGAAGTTCCACAGGCCGCGAATCCTTTCCTTTGGAAGGGAAGACGTTAGGTGCGCCGATTCCTCCAGCTCGTAAGAGGTCAACCGTAAGGTGGTCCGATGCCGGAGCGGTAGCTGCCTTCATAATCCCGATGCGGTTCGTACCTCAACAGGTAAAATCCTTGGTGGTAATTCTCTAGTGGGGATAACAAGGTTATGTACGAGTGTTGATGAGTAGAAGAGATTGGTGT